TTTTAAGTGCCGCAGGGCACAATATCTTCATGCCGACAAGAAGAAGTTAATGCGGATCTCTTAGCCAACAGCCTAGGGACTAAAAATTTCTGATTGAGGCTGCAAAAAGGAGGAGAGAAAAGAGCTGAATTTCCCAGAGCAATGCAAAAACCAAAACTCAGCCCATTTGTTTGCAATGCGTGGCTCAGAAGGGGGAACTCATATCTGGTACATCACTCTGCCACAGACAAAGCCTAGTTGATTTTTGTAAATTGCTGCCACGATCATTTAAATCTGGAAAGAATACAGCACGCAGACAGGCTGGCGGTGACTGGGGACAAATGGCATGTGACCTAAGAGGTGGCGTTGGTCTCCAATTTGAGTAACAAAGAGTCAGCCTGTGCCTGTGTGCGCCAGCGGGATAAATATCCTAATTCCAGTAGTGGCCCGTGTCAGTGCAGCTGTGTGAAAGCTGAGCTGTCACTAGAGACAAAAACTTTGTCTGTCTTTTGTTGTCACGTTGTGAGAGCTGGAGCAGTGACTCAAGGGTGAAAATCCACAGCCCTGCCTGGACATCCCTATGGCTGCAAAAGCAGCCGCTGGAATGAGGACACAGATTCCTGCGCATTCAGAAGAGCAAACGCCTTTGAACACTAAAAACTGAGGAGGCAGGAGGAAAAAAATGCCATGTTTTCTTGGATGAGCCCCCTGTGGAGGCAAAGAAAAGCCTGCCATGCGTTAATGGGCCACTTCCACGCACGCGGGGTGGCTCAGCCTGTCTGTGCTGATGCAGCTGCCAGCCTGCTTGTCTAGAAAATGCTTTTCTGAAAGGTATGATTATTCTAGACTGTTGAGCAAGTTCTTCTGTGTGAGTGCATTTAAACACTGCTGGCAGTATGCGTGGAAGGACTCAAAACGAAGAGGGAGGGGGGTGACATTTTTGCCCCGGGAGAGCAGGAGAGGAGATCGTGCTGCTGCGTGACCAGGACACCGATAGTGTTTTCTAAAATGCTCAGCTCTCCCATCAGCCTGAACGTGGGGGGAGCAGAGGCGTGTGGCATGTCCTGTGCACATGTCCTCGCTCCTTGGTCGATGAAGATGAGTCATGTGAGCCACGGGGTGAACGCATCCTGTGCCCAGCCATGCCCCGTGTTGGCCACGCTTAGGTACCCACAAGTCATCCTGGAAGGATGCTTCTTAAAAGCCTGGCTTTGGCCCTGGAGAAGGCATCCATCCCTACCTGCCTTGGAGAGGGGGTGCACAGAGGGCTGGCCCTGCCCCTCCTGCAAATGGGGGATGGATGAAATTGGCAAAGGGCTCTGGGGAAACCCTTTATTTGCTCAGGTTATTAGCAAGGAGAGAGGAAGTAATGATTTATTGATGCTTCTCTGATTCTCCTGCACTGAGCTGTGAAGGAAGAAATTCTATTTCCTGGCTGATATTCGTGGCTCTAATTGAGCTGTAAGTTGTTCCTGCAGGGCAGCTCGCCTGCAGGGTGCCAGCAATGTCCCTGGTTCTCCAATACAGTGTCCCACCATCCAGTCTAGCCTGTGATCGTCAAGGGTCACTGCTCTGCTCTTCCTCTGCCTCTTGGTGTAGCCAGGCTGGTCGTGACAGGCTGTTTGTAGAGCCCAGCATTTCTCTGCTGCAGCCTTTTATTTGATTAAACAGGAATATCTAATGGGGGGGTGGTGGTGACTCCTGTCTGGGGTGAGATGTTACGTGAATGTGAATCCATACCTCACCAAAATACCCTCAGTTTTCACGGTACGTTGGGCAGAAGGTGGTGACCTATTGATGCCTCTTGGCTGCAGCCTGGTAGCTGTGCCACCCCACGCTGAGTGAGGAGACCCCTGCCCTCACCATCTAAGGGTGGGCACGCATGGCCGGCACCTTCCACCACTGTCATTGCCACCTTCTCTGCATTTCAGGAGCCACCAGCATGGCTGTGCCTCTGGTGAGCTGGTAACTAGTGAAGCGCATAGTTAACAGCTAGTGTGCCGGGGGCTCTGCCAGCCCCCACCTCTGCAGGCTTCAGTGAATCCAGCTGAATTCCTGGGCTTCAGGTGGTACGTCTCCTCTGGCGCTGCCCTTTCCATGTGCTCCCCTGCTGCCTGTGAGCCTCAGCTGGCCCACCACGAGCAGGGATCCATCCCTGTGTCCTGGAGCGTGGGAGGGGGCAGGGGCTGCATCACCCCACGGGGTGAATCTCCTGCCAGCGCTGTGGAGTCACTGGTCTCCCCAAACTGCATGGGAAGAATGGCAAGGCACATGCATTGTCCCAGATTGCTGTGAGCAGGTAACCCCTTGAGTCCCAGGGAGAAGGAGATCGTAGGTGAGACTTTGGGAAACGTGACTTTTGCCCCCGTGCAACCCCTGCTCCTTTTAACTGCAACGTGCTTTTTTGTCTGTCCCCCTCAAACAAAGCAATGCCGTTTTTGTTAACCTGAGGAGCGTGTGGATCCCTTCTAATCACCTGATTTATCAAGGATTCTGATTTCTACTTTTTCAAGTTTATGACTATAGTGCAGGGGATCCCCAATGCTGAGTGTCCTACAAACCCTGAATGCGGGGTGTCCCCTGTGCTGAAGACCCTGGCCAGCTCAGCTGAGCAAGGGTAAAGGAGATGATTTACCAGCAGCATCAAGTGCGAGTGGCAAGTTAATGCTGCTTTTTTATTCCACTCCTTTTGACAGGGCCCTGTTAATAGAGGGTTGGGGAGCAGAAACAAAGAGAAGAGCACAGCAGCTAAAAGCTGGTTGTCACACTGCTGCTGCCTGAGTGTGAAAATGCTGTTTTATCAGAAGAAGCGCCCTTCCCATAACAAATGGCATCGCACAGTGAGCAGCAGCTCCAGCCTGAGCCTTCCTGCGGACCATGTTGGCAGCTCTCATGGAGAGGACAGTGACACTGAGCTGTTCAGTAGGATTCAGCACTCTACTGTGATCTTCCCTGGGAAGATCAGACTGGAAAAGGTGGAAACCCATGTGGGTGAAAGCCTGGCAGGCTGGAGAGGGTGAGAGGAGGCAGCACAAAGGGGTGCATCTCATGGAGAGGGTGGCTTTGGAGGGGGTGGTGGATGATGTGGAGGGACTACAAGCTGGGGATTGGGGAGCACGCCAGGGCAGGCGTGTGGAGGCTGTAGCAGGAGCTGTGTTGAATTTTGGGGTGGGAGTGGCACGAGGGTGAGTGGGCTGTGTGGAGGGCAGGGGTCTCTGGTGCTTGGAGCAGCACAGGCACTCCACTGGAGACAGCAGCGCCAGAGGCTCCTGCCCTGCTCCCCTTTCCCACAGAAAGCACACAGCTTGCTGTAATTTTCTCTTATCTTCTCAGAAAATGAGATCCATTCTCTGAAATAACTTGCCTTTCCTTCCAGTGCTCCTTTAAAGATGTTCAAATGAGCTCTGCTCCATTTCCTTGCTTAGATCTGTAGTTAGAGGTGGTGAAATGCTCCCTAGTCCATATGGGGCTGCTTGGAGGCTTCATCCTAAAGTTGGGTTCTGAGTGTTGGTTTTGTCCTTGATCTGATACTTTAATGAATTTGGTAGATGTATTTTGACATACATGATTTTATTTTTAAAGTTTTCCCCAGTTGCTTTCTTCCTTAGCTCTCTTTCTTGGGGAAAACAAACCACCAACAAAAAAATCCTAATTTTTTTCTTTTTCAAAGCTGAGTATTGCAGAGGGGACCTCTCATGCCCACCTTGTTTGGAGGTTCACCCATCCCCCACTGCCCCAGTCTGCAGTTGCTGTTAATTCACATTTGGTTTAGTAATTAATCAGGATATAAATAATACATAGCATGTTATCAGAAAACTGCATGCCGGTGCTATGGAGGCAGGCACTTTCGGCCCCGGCGGGGAGGGCTTGCCTTCTGCTGCTCTGCAGCCCCCAAAGGCCAATTAAGGTGCATCCTTGATAAGATTCCAGCCGCTCCTTGGCTGGATAAATGGTTGCTCTGATGCAGGGAGGGGGCAAAGGAAGCGAAGATGAAGGGGGTTTTAGCCTTCAAACAGCTGCAGTGAGCGCTGGAGTCCAAGCGCTTCTCTCCTCCCCGGCGTGCAGGGGCTGAGGCTGCTGGTGGTGGTACTGGATGGATGGAGCAGGCACCAGCAGCACCTATGGAGACCCAAGGGTCTGCTAGATCCTGGGGAAGACTCAGTAGCATGTACTTTGTCTTCAGCTTTAGTCCTGTAAAGGTCTTTTCTGAAGGCATGTCAACTGCTGGTAAACAAAGCCTTGAAGAATGTCACAAGCCTGGAAACCTGTTTTTCCCTCCCCTGCTCCTTCACCGCAGCTCTCCCAGCCTCCTGTGTGAGCCCAGGAATGACGTCCTTGGTATTTCTTGTTCAAAGGCTGGTGTTTATTTCAGCTGCAGTAACAAGTGCTAAACTGGCTGGCAGGAGGAATAAATGTTGCTATGACAGTTTGGGTGGAGATTTGAAAAAGCTGCTTCAAGTTAGAAAACAAGTATAAAAACCATCAAGAAAAAGGCAAGCAAAAATGGAAACCTAGAACAAATGGACTTTGAGGGCCACCAGATTTCTACTAGGTCTGTAACATTCAGAGCTGTGTGTTTGCTCCATAGCAGGTCAGCAGGAGCAGAAATAATTGACCTTGGGAGAAGCTGAGCTTTGCAGTGGAATCATGAAAGCTCCCCACAGCAGGCTGAATATTCCAGGCTGCTGCATGGACCTGGAGCTCTGTCCTGGGTCTTGTAGTGATCACTGGATTTCAGTGCTTGTAACAGTGACTTTGTTTTCCAACTGTAAACCTTGAAATGACAGACTCAGTTTGAAGCAAGGCTTCAAATATGTTTGCTTTGAAGGAAGGAGGGAAAGGTGAGATGGTGCTGAGATGAGGTTCTGGCTCTGGGAGCCGTTTGTTGGCAGTTTGGCTCGTGCAGTGCCTGCTCTGTGGGTTTCCCATACTGCTGTCCCTCCTGCCCTAAGCTCTGGTGCAAAACAACTGCAGCTGAAGCAGCACAGTAACATGTGGGATGTTGTGTTTTGTAGGTGCTGGAGCAAGATGTGGTTCTTCAGTCTATTGACCGTGCCATTGAGGCTGTGCACAATGCGGCCATGAAGAATGGGGGAAAGTACAACCTAGAGCAGAGAGATGTCCTCCAGTAAGTATGATGGGTGTCTGGGGTTGCTGGTGGATGGAGGATGGTCAGTGTGTGATGCTTGTGTCTTTTCTGTCCTTGGGGATCAAGTTGGACATAGTTGATTTGAGTCCCTGTGTTGCAAAGTGCTAATGCACTCAGAGAGCTTCCCAGTGTTTGAGCTGGTAGCCACTGCTGCAGCTTCTGTCAACCATGTCCAGCAAAGTGCTGCTTCAGTCTGTCCCCCTCTATCCCTGTGCATATAGAGAAGGGAAAACTCTCAGCTGTATCTTGGGCTTAGAGGAGAAATCCAAAACCTTTCCAGATGAATTTTCTCCTCTCTGCCAGCCAGGAATTGTAGAGGTTGTTGGCATGTGGCACAAGGTCCTTCATATGTTCTCAAATAATTGCTTGTGAGGCTAAATTTTCCTTTTTTTCTCTGACACCTCACGCTCTGCACTGAGGCACTCTGGTTTAATCTCAGTTGAACGGTGATTCTAAAGTGCAGGCAATTTCTGAAGCTCGCAATGCAATATGTGACTCTCCCCCTGAGGAAGAGGCATTTTTCTCCAGCGAACTGATGAATAAATCATGGGCTTCTGCAAAGCCTCTTCCTTCCTCCCCCAGAAGTGCTTCCTTAGTTGTTAATGAAACTGGAGTTGGTGTTCAGGGTAATGTAACCCATTCTGGTATATATAGCCCAAATGCAATAAATCTTTTAAATATATCATTTAAATGTTGTAGCACGGTCGCTTCCTTCCTTTAGCCGAGCTGTTCCTGATGTCATCATTCCATTTCAGAAAGCTGATCCATCACCGGAAGGAGACAGTGTCCCGCAAAGGTCACTCCCCCACCCCTCAGGGGATGGTTATGACACAGTCCTCCAGCGATCACCATCTGGACGTGGCCCGACAGCCCAACGGGGTGTGCCGGACAGGATACGAGCGCCATCACAGTCTTCCAAACACTGAGTTCGAGGAGGAGGATGAAGGTCTCTATCAGGTAACAGCAGCTGGACACTTTCTGAGTTCCTTCTTTGGTGGTATGACATCACTTGTCCTGTTTAATAACAGGCTTTTGCAGCTGAAGTCACAAATCAAGTGTTTGGTGTTTGTGCCGCTTACTTAGGATTGCTGCAGTGTACATCAGAGCTGTCTCCAAGAAGTCTGGAACAGTCCCTCTGCCATTTACACTTGTGATGCTTTTGGGGATCCTTGAGGGTCCATGGTTTTATGGTGACACACGAGATCCATTCTATATTGTGTGACTGTCTCTTGACAACTTTCTGAAAGAGTTACAAGCTCCCCAGAGAATACTTTGAAAAACAGTTTTGATGTGAGCAGCAGAACTCCCTCTGAGTACTCGGCACTGCTTTGTTTCCTTCTTGTTAAGCCTGTATGAGATCTTTGGTCCTCAAGCATTTTATCTGTTGTGGCTGCCTATTTTACTACTCAAAATATAAAAAACCCCAAAGATCCTCCTTTGTCTAAATGTTGCTTGTCATGATTTATTAAAGGTAAATTGCAGGAATATGATTTAGAGCAGATGTTTTTATCTCAGCGGCACACAGTTCCAAGGTTACTGTGCAGCACCAGCGAGGCTTCAAAGTAGCTGAGGACAGATGCAGCAGTTGTTGGGGATGAAAGATGTGGCTGATTTCCTTGTGTAGGTATGGCTGGATGGGAGGGCTAAAGGCGCCAAGCAAGGATGAGCACAGAGATTTTTTTTCTCCTGCAGCTGAACACGTGCGCTGTAGTTTTTCTTCATCCATCTGGGATCAGTGTTTGGAGGCAGTGTTTATAAGGTACTGATACACTGTCACTCCTAGCAGATGAGGCTTGTTTTACACTTGAAGAACTGCGAGTCTGCAGAGATGAAAGGTAGCTCTGGCTCATGCAGAACATGACAATCCTTACAAACACCATTTTTCTCCTTGGTATTCGTTTTCATTTCTGGGCAGTCAAACCAGCTCAATTCCCAAGCCTGTGCATTACAGGCTGAGAGGATGGAGCACCTTACGGCCCGTTCTCCGTGACGATCCCCATCTTTATCAGGTGTGGGGTTTGGTTATTTGTCAAAAACAGGGAAGACATTCCAATGCTGACAGAGAACAGTTTCCATCTGGGTGGCATTGAGGATACAGTCAAAGGGCTTCCAGCTTTGCACTGTGCTGAAGGGTTCCTTGAGATTTTAACAGCTCAGTTGAGGGATTTCCTGTGTGCTTTGAAAATACGAAATGGAGGAAGCAGCATTGCTTTCTTCCACTGGTTATGCAGCTGCCTAAGAGATGATCTACTGAAATCTAAACTTTCTCACTAACTCTGGAGAAGCAGAGGTCTTGGGATGCAAGCACCTGCTTGGGATTTTCAGGTGCCTTCAATGTTTGCATCTGAAAACTGAAAAGTAACATTTGAAGTGCAAATTTCCTCTTGGTGGCTTTGCTCCTGAGGCTGAACTGGCTGAAGTAGTCTGAGGTCTCTTCAGTTCCTCTGTAGTTAGCATGAGGTGGGAAGCTGGGGCAGTTACATACCAGCTGCCAAGTGAGGAGGTTGGGCTTTCAGAGTATTTTAGGCACTTTGCTGCATTTGTGAATGCTCAGTGGGTTTGTGATGCTCGTCTCCAGAAGCCTTTGCTGCAGACCAGTGTGTCTGGCTTGGCAGAGTTTGCCTAGAGGAGGTGGTGGGTGTGGGATTGTTGGTGTGGGTTTTTGTTTTGCTTTTGTTTGTTTGTTTAAAGATTCCTACTCTACTAGCATGATTGCCAGGATTAGAGTTGAGGGAGTGGTGGTGGTCTCTGCCTGCCCAGCTGGGAAGGGGATGGGGGTGTGGTGAATGAGTCAGCTCTTGTCTCAAGCAGGGACCAAAGCCCCTGCTAGCAGTCCTTGCAAAATGGGAAAGGAGAGGAAGCACACTGTAAAATCTGCAGATTTCAGGATGCTCACAGCCCACTTGCAACAACCTGGGGAAAGGGAGGCTTTCAACACATATAGGTGCTTCTCTCAAGACCCTCAGGAAAGTCCCTCCTCTTCTCCCTCTGGACAGGAGGGATCTGAGCTGCAAGGACTCCTGCATGGTCACCTTCCCCACAGCAGCTGGACAGAGGATGTTTTCTCCACTTTCCTCCCTTTCCCTTGGGGGTTTTGATGTTGTACATCGTCTACTTGGCCCCAGGCAGCAGCTGGGACACAAGGTGAAGGGATGGGATAGCCATTCGTTACCCCTCGCAGCTCCTGACCCTGCGGCAGCTCACAGCTCAGGCAGGCACCAGGAAATTCATCTGATGCTTCGCGTCTAAATGGGGCTGGCGGGGCTCTGAGCTAACATTAGCTGTTCATCTATTAATTTAAGCACTAGTCTGTAATAGTTGTGTTAAACTTGCATAGTAAATTTGGGAGGGCAAATGAAGCCATGGAAATACTCCAAAATGACCCAGCCCTAGCTGTCTCTAAATAATGTCACGCTGCTGCTCTAAGCTCTGAGCCTGCCTGTTTGCTAAATCCTGCTGCTTTGGTAATCGTGCCAAGCAGCTCTGACTCGTGCCGTTAGCTGTGCTGCTCTGCAGAGAGGGCTCTGCTTTTGGCACAGCTGAGCTTTCCAGATTTGGGACCAGCCTTCCAGCCACGCGATGCAGAGACCCTTCCTGATCTGTTTGGCCTCTCTCAGCTGTGCAATCTCTTTTTGGACTGACACGGGTCATTTTTGAAGCTGTATGCAAGTCTTGTATAGCATTTTACCCAGAGGACAACGTGGGATGGATTGACAAGAGCAGAAGAGCTCAGGCTGGGAGTCTGCAGCAGCATCTCCTACTAATCCACCAGCTAAAGACACTTGTAAAGAAGGAACTTATGTGACTTAGTAAAAGGTTGGATGTATTAGGTGCTGGGTGGGAGAAAGGGACTGAGAGATCCCTTTCTAAAAGTCTGTAAGGTATGCAAACTGCTGTGTCTTCACATGTCTGGTGAGCTCCAGACACGGGCTGTGAGCACTATATTGTCAGCTTTTGGCATCGAGTCCTGGACATTTGAGGTTGCTCCTGAAGGTGTCTTATTTCCAGGAATATCTTTGCTACCGTTTCAGAGGAGGTTTCTACCCTTCTGGATCTGGGGGAAAAGAAATAACATTTTGCATTCTCCTTGTTGTGAGTTATTGAAGATAGAGACCTTTCAGGGACCTGCCTCAGATTTTTATTGCAGGGCCTGGCATTGTTCTGTGCCCTGTGCAGCATTGTAGGGCTATTCAGCACTGACAGGTCACAGAAAAACTTCTCTTCCAGGGCTAAAGAAACGTGGGAAATTGTCACTGTGTGATAGTCTGGATGTCGCTAGGGTAGGTAGATTCCAGCTGGCTTCAAACTGGGCTACCTGAGACATTCAGGCCATCACCTCCTTTCCCTTGCCATGCTGCCCAAGGTGGTTTTGCTGCAGGCAGCGATTGCAATATGCTGTAAAAACAGAGGCATGTTTCAGGCAGTAGGGTCTGAATTGCAGAAGTCCTAAGAGACCCTGAACCGACTCTCTGGCCCTGAGCCACTGGGATGTGAGGATTAGAGTATTGATGCAATGTGCTCCCAGCTAGCTTGGCCGCTGTGTTCAGCAGCATCCTACTGATCAGAGGTTAACCCTGAGGTTATACCTCACTGGAGTAATTCTGGGTGAAAATGATGTTGGTGATGATGAGTTTGGATCCAACAGGAAAAGATGAGTGTAGGAATCTGGGGCTCATACACTGCAGGCTCAGTGTTCCCAGCAGAGGAGTCTTACAGGAGAAACCCCAGATGTGGAGAGTTAATGCAGCTACCTGGCAAAACCTCTTCCCAGTGGGGCTTGCTATAGGTAGCATAGAATTGCACAGAGGGTCTAGCTCTATATTCTCCCTGCATGAGCAGAAATAGCTCTGGAAGCATGGAAAAGGCATTTACATGTCTCCAGTCCTTGGCTTTGTCTTTCTGCAAGGGTATTTGTAGCTGATGTAATGGATCTCTCCAGAAGAGTGTTTAAATATGCACTCTGTTTGCAGCCTCTGTGGAGCTCTTGAGAGTAATGTGGAGTCACAGTGTGTGTGTGGGATTGCGTTTGGAATAAAGGAGGAGTAAATGCTTGACAGGTCTACACAACATATGTGCTGTGTGCTGCTGAACACAGCAATTAAACAAGGGCTGCTTTGCCTGTCACAGGGAGGGGATGAAGCAGGCTTGAGTCCTGCTTTGTTCTTCTAGGAAGCTGCCTATTAATATCCATCCTCCTGAGAAAACTTCCCCAAATGATGAGAGAGATGTAAGGACAAATCTATACATGCACGCGAGAAAGAAGGTTTCATAACAGAGAATGTCTTTATTATCAACCTCCTTTGATTGCTCTGAAATCTTTCCTTATAGATCCCACCACAGCCCCGGCGTGCGGCTCCTGTCACCCCCCCACCTCCAGAGAAACGCAAGAACGCGCAGATTGCTGCTCCTGTTAAAAGTAAGGATGAACTGCTTTCCAGATCTGGGGCATGAAAGGGACACTGGGCGTTATAACAGTCATGGTGCCCGGATGCTTCTGCTTTGTGCTTAGAAGAGCATCTGTATATATATCCTAAATTCCTGTAGGTTTTATATCCTTGCAAAGATATATATATCTCTCCTAAATTCCTATAGAAGAGGATTAAATATATATATATCCTAAATTCCTTTAGGTTTTAATGCTAATGATCATGAGCTGGTGGCCAGTGCTCCTTCAAGCCTTCTCTGACCCAGGAGGGCCTGGGCAGCCTGGTGCCAGTGGGTTGCTGCCAGGTACAGCATTCTCCCACTCCTCTGGTGCTGGTGCTCTCCAAGGAGCAAACTGTCTAGCTGCTCACGTGGCTCATCTGGCCAGCATGCAACCTTGCTGATTTAAGATCCTTGTGGGTGTTTTATTCCCAGAGATACCGTGGCCATCTCCCAGCAAGGCAGAGGGAGTTTTCCCTGGCACTGCGGTAGTTCACCAGGGGCAGCTCACTAGAAGCGCTTTTAGGACAAGTCCCAGTCTGCTTTTGGCTCCCAGTCTGCCTGGCACTTTCTTTGTACAGTGCTTGGATGGGGTTTCCATAAAATCAGTGTCTGTAAGGAGCACTACCAGAGTGCAGCCGTGTATATGCTGCCCACAGGCAGGGGATCTGTTGGTCATGAGCACTTCAGAGCAGAGCAGAACCACAGGGCTGGGGCAGGAGCTTCTCCATCTTCAGTGTAGTTGGGCTGGCAGGGGCAGTGGTCGCCCTGCTGAGTTGCTGCCAGCTTGTCCAAATGCTCTCCTGTGATGTGACGGTCACGCTGTTAGTGACACAGCCCATCTCATGTCGACTTGTCAGGAGCAGGACAGAGCTGTTGACTTGCAGGTAGTTAATTGAAATTTGGGGCTGGCACCAGCTTACTTCATGGTACTTAATGGTATTGAGCCATTTTTCACCCTAGTAGCGGGAATTCACACAGGTCAGTTTCCTTCACTCGTTGTCTTGATTTACTGAAGCATGGTGGGAGCTATGATTCATGAATGTTCCTCTGTGAGGAGGAGGAGGAGGAAAAAAGAGGGATGCTGAACCCCTGTGGGAGGGCCAGGTCCTGTTCTTCTGCCTATCTTGTGCTTGCTTGGGGTGCAGTGGTGGATGGAGTAGTGGAGGGCTCTCACGACCAACGGGGCAGGAAGGGTTGGAGTTGTGTTTCGCCTGTCTGTCCCACTGGTCCTTCCTTTGGTGTGGGGGAAACTGCCTTCCCTGATTGCTGGGCTCCCCTGTGGTGCTTCTTCCCTTCCAGCACCAACATCAGCTGATCTCATGAAGATCTAGATGAAGGCAGCCCAGTGTTTGACCAAGTAACTGTTTTCATAGTCAGGGAAGGACTCAATTACTTTTCTGACCCCTAGAAACAAATGGATAAGGCTTACCAAAAATATATGTTAGACCAGGTGAAAGGAGAGAAAAATCTCAACATCTCTTTGCTTTGCTAGGTTGCCCAAGGAAGTTGTGGATGCCCCCTCCCTGGAAGTGTTTAAGGCCAGGCTGGATGAGGCTTTGAGCAACCTGGTCTAGTGGAAGGTGTCCCTGCTGATGGCAGGGGGGCTGGAACTGGATGAGCTTTAAGGTCCCTTCCAATCCAAATCATTCTATGATTCTATGTAGTGGATTTTTTCCCTTGGAAGATGGGACATAGACCACTCCTAAAGCTAGTCAAAAGTAGAGGCAGGGGGAGAAATACAGTAGAGCAGATAATGTGGAGGCTTGTGAAAGTGGGCTGCGGGGCTCGTGACCAAATATCGGAGAGTGCTGAAAGGGAGAGACTAGAGGTGCTGTCAGCCAAATGTTTCCTTCGCCACTGCTGCCAACCATGGTGTGAGTTGACAAGGTTCATGCACGAGGGAGGTGTGGGCTGGTGTGTGAAGCCTTCAGTGTCTTGCAGTTCTTGGGCATGATCATTCACAAGTGAGGGCTTAGATCTGCAATGCAGAAACAGGCCCTCGCTAAGCCGGGTGGAAAAGACTTTTCTGTCCCTTACTCCTGTCCCTCCCTCCCTTCCCCTGCGTAGAACACTAAGCCCTTTGAAGGGTATTCATCTCAATAGAGTAGTTTTCCTCTTTCTAAAGAGGTGATTGTGCGGGAATGCTCCAGAGAGAACTGGTACAATTTTGCTTTGAGATAAGTGAGGCAGGAAGAAGAGTTAAACTGCTCTGGTCCATGCACAATGAGCCTTTTAATGGACTGTGCTGTAGCAATTTGGTTTTTTTCTTTTTTTTTCCTTTGATGCTGTTGCTAAGGCATTTTTAATTGTTCCCTTTCAGATGCTGTTGAAATTATCCCTGGGTCAGCTTCTAGTGCCTCCTCTATAAGCACAACATCCCTGGATACTCTGTACACCGCTTCTTCTGCATCAGAGACCCACCGCCACCTCCAGCCCCGCCAACTCCCCCCCCCCTGTCCCGAGCCGGAGCGTCCACACCACCATAACACGGAATTTGGATGCTGGCTCTGTGACCCGCTATGGGACTTCCTCAAAGGATGGGGCCAGCAAATCTCCCCAGGCCAAGAGGGCTGCCCCAGCACCGCCTGCTGAAGGGGGGGCCCAGAGGTCCCACGCTGTGGATGGGGAGAAGACTTCTCAGGTGAAGAAAGCTGCCCCAGCTCCCCCTGCAAGCCTGGATGCCTTCAGCTCCCTCTGCCTGGAGGATAAGAAGGTGGCTGCGGTGGAGCCAGTGCCAGCAGAACCCGGTGGTCTGGCAGCATCCGTGCCCAAGACGATAGGTGCCGAACTGATCGAGCTGGTGCGCAGGAACACCCACCTCAGCTACGAGCTGTCCCGTGTGGCCATCGGTGTGGTCATCGGCCACATCCAGACCTCCATCCCAGCAACCAGCAGCATCATGGAGCAGATTCTCATCTCTGTGGTGGAGAGTAAGGTAACACCCATGGGGCTGAGCTGGGGGCCTACTAGCATTGGGCAGACAGCACAACGGACTCAAGGAGCTCTCATAATGTTTGGGATGAGAAAGTGCAGTGAGGTCCCAAAGGAGAAGGCAGAGGTGCTAGATGGGGTACGTGTCTAGCCAAAGGAACCAGGGGTTTAAACCAGGTGTGAGTACTGGCAGCAGGGAAGTGGAAAACAGGTGAGTTTATTTCCCAAACGAGCTGCAGATGTAGGGCATAACCCTGAGTTTGGAGCTGGGGGGTGAGAGGTGAAACCAGCTGAGAGGGCCCTTGGTGCTGGGAAGTACTGGTAGGCTGTGGTGGAGGGGTGGGTATCTCAGATGAGACTGCAATTTGGAGAGGGGATGATGAGATGGGCAGCAGTGAACTGAACCAGGTGACTGACCACATCAGGTGGGAGGTGACAACCTTCCAGGTCCCAGGGACAGCACTGGTTACGAAGCAGCAGTGGGGATAGATGCAGCGGGACTTAAGGTGCACTGAGGAAGCTGACATGAGTTGTTGACCACCAACTGTGGAGATTCAGAGAGAACCATTGTGGCAGCTTAGAAGTGGAGAAACAAATGAATAGTGACTTTTTAAAGAGGTATTTTCTGTTAAGAATGTGACAAATAGAAGCTGAGGAAAATGGAGCCTTTGCAATAAGTATTTCTTTATGGAAATCTTTTATAAAATAATGCATTGTATCAAGTTGTTTTCTTCTATGGTGTTGCACGTCCTCTGTGTAGATTCAGCATGCCTGTGCATATTATAAATCTGCACAAATTCTTGTGTCTTTTGACGATGGAGCACAGAAAACTTCTGTATGTCTGGCCTGGTCTTTCATCAAAGCGATGGAAACTAGTTTCCTGTATATGCAGATCTCTCTATTGTTCCATAATGCACATGTCAGCTCTGCTTTTTTAACAAACCATAGAAGAGCAGTGTTTCAGACACTGGAGAAAGAGCATTATTTTGAGCTTGTTCTAAATAAACCTTATGCCAAAAGGATCATATATTCCTCTTTCCTCTGCTGCAGATGCACAAGGAATGAAATAAAAGGATGCTTCTTGCAGCAGTCATTGAAATGGCAAAGTGCACCTGGGCAGCCCTCTGCTTCAGTTGGAGGGATAATAAATTTCAGTTCCCACTTGCTAAGTACAGCCCCGAGGAGGACGTTTCATATAAACATCTGAGACTGGAGTTCCATTGCTAATGGCAAGATTATAATGAACTGTTCAGAGGCATTTGAATATGGAAAACTAATGGCATTCAAATTTTAGATTAAATTGTAATCTGGCTCTATGTGCTGAAGAGAGGGTCCTATAAGCAGCCATCACGTCTCAGTTTGTGGCCATAACCCAGCAGTTAATTGCTTCCTGCTCGGGTAACAGCACCGTGTCAATGTGGATCTAGATTCAGCAAAAAAATTTCGCTGTTTCAGGCAAATGTTCTGGCTCTGACTCAGGCGCTGAGAAGTTCAGTTTTCTGTTATTTGGACCTTGGATGAGATTTGAATATTATTTTTATCTTTCATACCTCTTCTCGGGATACAATCAGCTTAATTCCACAGAAGTCATTTAGTGCCAGGTTTCTGCAGAGGGGATTTGAAAACCTCAGTTTCATGGCTGTTGCTGCAGACCAGTCTGAAAAGGATGGGAGGAAATTGTGATGCTGGTGCAGGGGCGAGTGTTGATCTACCCGTAATTGAAACGGTATCTGTCAACTAGGACATCTGCAGGACTTAAAAATGCCCAGTACTGTATGGAGACACAGAATAAGGTCCTGCCCCATCTCATAATGCCTCATCATACCTATCTTGAGTGGTACTGCTTTCCTAAGGAGAGTCTGGGTGGGCTTGCACAGCACTCAGGTGTGAATGCTATGGCTGTAGTGTGCATTTTCCCTAAATGTCCCATGCAGAAGATGTAGCTTTGCTGATATGTAGGTGCCTGGTCCCAGATGAGGTTGTTCATCTGATGTAGAAGACCAGCTCTAACAGCTAAAAGGGCAGTCACATGTAGTTGTGGGTGGCTGTACAGCCATAGCTTCACTAGCGTAGTTTAATGGTAGAAATTATTATCGTTGACTTTGTGTTGTTCATTATACGAAATAGTTCTGTGATCTCAGGGGGTTTTGTGTAGAATTGTTGCTGAGTCATCAGTTCTAGGTCAAGGGCTTTTTTCTTGAATTTGTAACTTCTGAAATCCCTCTACACCCTACTCTGTGCAAATATGCAGTCAGTTCTTCTTTTGCATATTTTCCAAGGTTTTTCTTCCACCCCCTAAACCAGAGTGAGAGCTCAGCTTTGATTTAAAGCTTTGGTCTGCTTGTAGTAGATACCACAGCTGCTTCAACCTTTTGTATCATGTTCTTTAATTAGTTCTATCCTTTCTATTCCTATTCCAGTCTTAATTTGAAGTCAGATCACCGGTTTACAAGATCAATTCCAGAATCCATTACCTCGCTCCTATCCCCAGTGCCTTCTGAAGGTTGAATTGCAATGGCACTTCCCTCTTATTTACCTTGCTGCTCCTCCAGCCTGGAGTCTGCCCAGGCACGTGTTTCCAACAGAACAACAGACCCTTCTGCTGGGACAGCATCATGCTCCTGCTTTCAGAGAGGTAACATAAGGCTGTGCTGGGGGAACAGCAATGACAAGGAGGGTGCTGAGGTGCTCACACCTTAGGTAAGGTGCTTCAGAGATACCATACTACTTGGGGAAGCCTGATCTGCAGGAGTTGGTTCTATCACTAACTGCCTTTGTAAAAAGTC